AAAATAAATCAATGATAAAAATTAAAAAAATTCTCTCCTACCTTATGCCATAAAAGGAGAGTGTGTTTCTGCCTCCCATTTGGTATTAATGTTCTTCTTTTGAAATTTAATGTTGGGGGTATGTTGTTTGGTTTTGTTTTCTTTGAGATAAGAATCTCAGGCTTTAGCTCAGACTGGTCTGGAACTCATTGTGTAGCCTGGTTTAACCTGAAATTTGTAATCCTCCTGACTCAGCCTCCCAACTGCTGGGATTACAAGCATGCCTCAACTTGCCCTGCATCTAACATTGTTTACAATGCTTCAGAATGCCAGAAAGTACTGGTGTGTGCAGACAGGGGCTTCCCAGTCCATAGCTGTGGTTTATTTTATGGCAGTAAAAAATAGGAATGCAAACTGGAGTCTAGAAGCACACAGAGATATTATGATTTTTATCCTGCTTTATTTTCTCCAAAATTCCTTTTCAATATGTATATAAAAGTCATAATGTTTTAATAATAAATTGTTCAATCTTTATCTTGATTTGACCATAGTTCATCTGATATTGGTTAAAAAAGAAGCCTGGCAATATACACTGACCAATTTGCATGAAAGTAATGATAATGACATTTATTAAGAGTATTATAATTAGAAAGTTATTAATCTTTCTGAAAAATACCACTCACCAAACAGTTGGCATGTCTTTTACAACCATTTTATTAAAAATTGCTTTATGTGAAATTTAAGTAGAAATAACTTTGTGGTTCCTACATATTTCTGAGCTATTTGTACTACTAGAGATTGATGTACTTGCTAAAATACTTTGAAATCATTTTAAGAGTTATATTTTAGCTATTTTACATTTCTGTCTATGTTTACTACACTACAAAAGCTAATCTTTACTGTATTTCTTCCACGTAGATAGTTTACAGCATTTTGATGCTGGGTGTATATGTACACATTTAAACACTGGATTTGTGAGTATGTATGCCACCAGGATCATTTTAAAAACATGTTTTAAGATAGTATTCATGTATAAATTAGCATACTAAAATAAGTGAATGGTAGAATAATTTAAAACAAATGTATGGGGTATGGTGGTACACACCTGTAATCTCAGTACTTGGGAGGCAGAGGCAGGAGGATCACTGCAAGTTCAGGGCCAGCCTGGTGTACATAGTGAATTCCAGGCCAATCAGGGCTCCAGGGGGAAGATCCTATCTCAAAAAATAAAAATAACACAAAATAATCTCTTAAGTGTCTAGCTTGTTGTTTATTATGCAGCTGCTTATATAAATATATGTATCACATAAAGCTCAGCTTTTCAAGTAAGCATAATGAATATTACCTATAGCATATCTTAGTTGACTTTTGATATGATGACTATAGTTTTTAAAGTAATAATTCTGAGAATGAAATACGTATCTATGTATCTAAAGAGTTCTGTATGTTTCTGGTCTGATGTGTTGTCTCCCAGTTCTAATGTCCCTCTTTTGAAATTGAATAATAGTTGATGATGTCGCCTAAAATTGGCCTGCACATCTAAATGCATCTCCCTTGTCATTTGTGGTATTTGCATGTTTAACAGAACAAAATAGTAAGTTGGTGGACTTGAAGCTGAAGCAGCTCTTAGAAGCTCAGCCACAGGTGGCAACTTCACTTTCCAGTGCTGCCCAGAAAGCTGTACCCGAGAGCTCAGAACAAGACATGAAGGTAAATCTTACCAGTTTAACATTTGGCTTAGTAGCCTCATTTCAGATCAAGTAAATTTAGATGGTGTACAGAAATTAGTTTTGAGTCCTGTACACTTGTATATTTTGCTAAGAGAAATATTGCCGAAAGAATTCTAGTGTGGTTTCCTGTCACCCTAACCTTTTTGACCCACACAGATGAGCTATAATTTATATTATTTCTAAGAATCCATCATACCTGAAGATGGTAATACGATTGAATATAGTATTAAAAATACTTGCATGAAATCTGTGCCTTTATGAACCTTGTCTGCTGTATCAGATCTTAGCCAAAATGCCCCCTTATATGCATATTATTATTGTTATTAGAGACTGTGATCACCACCCACGGCCCGCTCCCTCTCCTCACATTGTATCACTAGTATTTCTCCAGCTTTAGAGGACGTTCAGTCCTGTACAGCTTTTCACCCACCTGCGGACTATGGGGATTGCCCTGCTGACTGAAAGGATTTCCTTCCCCTGACACAGAGATGCTTTGAAGTCCCAAAACAATGACTTTCATTGCTTTCCCTTATATTGTCGGTTTCTATAAATTGGTGATGAAAGTGTGTGGCATCAACAGAAGACTTTTGGTCTCTATCTTTGAATAAAAGGAAGCCTGGATCAGGCCTGGGTTTGGGGTTTTGTTTTTTGTTTTTTTTTTGTTTTTTTTTTTTTTTTTTTTTTTGAATTCAATTTAGCTTTCCACAGTGGATTTAATGCAGAATGAAGCTTGCCTAAGAATAATACAATGGATTGAAAAGGCTAACTGAATTAGTGGGTTTAGAGGAATACATTTGTAAAGTGGCAGAAGTTCCTAGTCATAAAAAGGTTTCTTAAGATGGGATTTGCTGGCTGATCACACTGATATTTTAACATGTTGCCAGCCCTAAAAATATTTAGCCATGTTGGTTTATTTTGGTAAAGACCAGAGTTTTAGACTATTGGATAATTATTATAATAGTAAAAGTTCATACTTAAAAAACTGAAGCCAAGAATATTTGTAACCTACTAGGATGGTATAAGGATGATGTTCATGATAAATACATCAGGTAACTTTTGAAAAATGAAAGTTGTTTTCATTTTTATGCTTTGATCATCCACATAGATGAAATTGATTTTGTTTTCCAAAAAGCTCTTAACGTAGTAAAATTTAAAGTTATTCCAACAAAAGGTATGCTGTAAGCAGATCACTTTTATATGAGTCTTTTAGTTGAGGTTTTGAAAACAGTGTTTATAAAGAACATATAGAGCCCATCTGTTCCCTGGAAGCTTGCAGCATTGATTTGGGTTTTTATTTTTTTTAATAAAATGCAGTTTACACATTTATAAATGAGGCATTCTGTGTTTGTGGAAAAGGATAAACTGTTACCTTCCCTTGAGGATTCTGTATCCCAGGCCTCCTTGAGGCTAGAGAATAGGCCATTGGAGGGCTCCCTCATTACTGATTGTCTCAATTCAGAGGAAGGGCAAAGTCTTGGTAGCTTTTGATAACCAGTTTCAGCATTCAGCAGGCTTAGCTATTAGTCATGCATCTTAGCCTTTCCCTATTTACTTTCAAAACACTTAATAAAAATAATAAAAGATTAGGTATAAAATGAAATATTTGTTTGGTACACAGCACCTCGGTATCTGCAGCTTCCACACACTGCAGTGGTTCAGTCTTCTGGGATATTTCTTGTTGATAGAACCATTTGAATTTGTTACCAGTATTAACATAGGAAGCTCCAGAAAAGATAATTGTAGTTTCCTTGGCTGTAAAGGGCTTACTTACAAATCGGGCTTTAAAAAGTTATAGCTGATGAAATGGAGTTCAGTGGGGTAGTATTATAATCCTACCTTTTAGCCCTCACCCAGCATTAGCAGTTTGTCCCAATGGGCATAAAATTAGAAACTATTTCTCCTTGTGTTACAGTCCATAGGACTGTACACACCGATGAGGCAGAATCACAGGGGGAGTCAGAGGCAACGTGGCTTTTGAATGATGCTTATCACCAGCAGAAGACACAGAGCTCATAGTATCTAACATATCAATGTTATCAAGGATTTAAGCCTTGTATCCCAAAGTTTTTGATGACTGACCATAGAACTTGCTGTTGAACTATTTATAATGCTTTAAAATCTTGGAGATAGTTTCTTAGAAAAGTCAGCATTATCTCAAGTTAGTAAAAATTACCTCCCTAATGTATGATTTCATATTTAGAAGATGGGGACTATTGTACCATGTATTCTTTTGCTTTTAGAATGGCTTAGAAGATCTCCGGACTGAGCGATTACAAAAAGCAACAGAGCGTTGTAGAAATCCTGTTGTGTTCAGCAAGGATTCTACAGTCAGAAAAACTCAACTTCAGTCTTTCAGTCAGTATGTTGAGAATAGACCAGGTAGGAACACTTTGAAACATTTTTCCCATCTCATGATTTAACAGTGTTTAACTTTATATGTACATATATTAAATATATTAAAGCTGATAATGTAAATCCACATTTCAATATATAAATATCAAGCTTTATAATGATTTTACATGTCTCTCCCCTTTTTTAAGAGATGAAAAGGCAGAGATCAATACAGGAAGATGCAAAGAAAGGCAATGAGGAGAAGGCAGCGATAACTGAGACTCAGAGGAAGCCATCAGAAGACGAAGTACTTAATGTATATTAATTTTTTGTGTGGTTTCATGATTGCTGATAATTCCAAACTGTATGTGGAAATAGTGCCTTTATTTGTTAAAATGAGATGTTAGGTTTTTTAAGATGTCAATCTCTAGTGCATTCAAAGCAGTGTGAGAAGGGTGCACTGTTGAATTAGTCTGCAGTGTGGTGATAATTGTCAGATAAAAAAAAATGAATTTTTCAGAGTTCCACAGCCCCAGCTTCCTTGAGACATTTCCATCAGGGCACTTCCCATAAAGAGATTCCAGTATTGATCTACCGGGAGGATTTTAATTATTACAATAGCAGATACCGCAGAGCTGCAGTTAGAGGGAAAAGTCACATGAGACCTGCTAGAATTTCTCAGCCAACCCATTTTGTTGGCTTGGGTTAATGGGTGTTCAACCTTTCCATTATCCAGATCAGCCGTGAATTACTAGCTGAATGATGTTTGCATTAATATAATATATATGGTAATTTCTTCACTTAATTAACGGGGAGGTTCAGCTCAGTAGGGGTATGGGCTGATCATGTGTAAAATTGATTTGTGAGGGAAATATTTGATAGACCGCAGGGAGAAAGCTGCTTTTGATGGACAGCTGCGGGACAGAAGCAGAGAACAAGTTTAACTTGAATTTTTGTCTAGAAGAAAAGCTTTCTGTAATGATGTTACTTTTTTTATTATCTACAGTTTGTCTGCATATTTTCACTTTTTACTGTTAAAATAATCCATGTAAGTGCAGCTTGAAGTTACCAGTGGCATTTTAGGACCCTAAAAGCTTCCCGTTTTAAGTTGTCCACCTAAAAGGCCCAGAAGAGTCTAGGAACAAAAGATGTCACTTGTGTATCTTGATAAAGTATTCGGTATAACTTAATAAGTTACAGACTGTTTATGTGTAGTATATGCTCATATTAAAGAAATCTAATTATTGATCCTCAGCATTGAAAAACTAATAAATCCATATGTGAGATCTGCTTCTATTTTTAACTATTAGTGAATATAGGGAAGTTTAGTATTTCTTACAACTTCCACTTTCTTTCTTGTATTGTCTTTGCAAACAGCCATGTTTTTTTTATCCCATTGGGTGGGACTCAGAAGGAAAAATAGTCCCCTTTTGAAACGTTCTGCTCTCTGGTGAGTAGTCTCACAAGCACTCATCAGAGTGTTCTGAATTTCATGTTCACCAGTAGCTTATATTCATATATAGAGAGAAATGGAAGGATGTCCGTTTTGTATGAATCTTTAAATGGTATAGTAGCATTGTAGCCAATGACTGAGAAATTACCAGATTTAGGATTTCCTAGAATATTTAAACTTTAAATTTGTCAACTCTCATAATCAATTTAACAAGTAATCATTGTAAACTGATTTCACATGTGAATACAAATTTTCTTACTAATTCAGAAGTTGTAAGTAGAATTCAGCATATTTATTATGAGGGGTCCAGGACAGTGGTAGTGATGAGAGTGACCACTACGCAACTCTTCAACATTTCTCGACGTCTTAGATCTCTTAGTCCTAGAAACGTCAAAAGGGGCAAAAGTATTCCAAAGAGAGCAGTGCTTAATTCATTTTTGACAGTGCCGTAAGTGAGAACCCTTCCCAAATAATTTAAATTTCTAATATGAAAAAAAACTAAAACTATACTTGTACTTTATAGTAGCACTTATTTGAAATAAAGCTTCCAAGATAACTTTAAATAGGATGACCATGAAAAGTAAAATTTCAAATTGAAATCCAAATTTGGTTAAAGAGAAAATTAACCAAATCAAAGAACTTGTTGAATTGAATCCTAAGTAGCAAAGTAGAAACCACCTGTCAGGTTGAAATTTACAGCTCTAATGATTGGTAATACTCTAACTCAGTGGCATGTTTAAGTGCAGGAGCTACTTAGAAGGAAATCTGGAGTTACTGCAAACTTTGTAGTTTTTTTTTTGAGACAGGAACTCTCTGTGTAGCCCTAGCTAGCCTGGAACTCACTATATAGACCAAGCTGGCCTTGAAGACAGTTTGTCTGCCTCTGTCTCTCTGCCCCCCCCCACCCCTCTGCCTCTGGTGCTGGAATTACAGGCATGTACACTACACCTGGCCTCTTCTTATCATTTAAAAAAATATATTTTAAATGATATAGTTCCCACAAAATGAAAAAAAAGTGTCCTTTTAGTTTTGTATTTCTACAAAACAAATCTGATTCTCTCTGATGGATAATTTAAGGATCAACTTTTTATTAAAACCCAACTTTTGTATATTGCACTTTTGAATGAAAGAATCATTTTGATACTCACAAAAGGGAAAATTCCCTCCCTCCTCATTCATGCCTAAATTACTAACCTGATTCTAAGGAAAAAAAAAAAATTTAACTCAGTGTTAACTTTTTATATATGGCAAATCTGGTTGTAAAAATGTAAATTTAATACTAAACGGCTGTTTACTGTTTACAGAAGTTATTTGATGTTCATGATACATACAAAAAATTTCTAAATTACAGGGAGGGAGTTACCTTTTGGTACTAGGGTTTGATACTAAGGGTGTATTTGCTTCTCTGGGTAAGTGCTTTACTAAGTGTTTGTAGAAAAGAAAAATGGAACCTACAAGTGATTTTTCCTCTTTCCTATTTGTTCTTGTTAACAGAAAGGGTTCAAAGACACCAGTCAGTATGTTGTAGGAGAATTGGCAGCACTAGAGAATGAGCAAAAGCAAATTGACACCCGTGCCGCGCTGGTGGAGAGGCGCCTTCGCTATCTCATGGACACAGGTACGGTGCCCAATTACACTGTAAACAGTTTTGGCAAATTGAGCGTTCACAAACTCTTATAGAGTTTTGGAAGTGTGAATCTTTGAAGCCTGAATGTTCAGCAAAACTGCCTTGAAAATAAAAAGGCTGTGATTTGCAGCCACCTCTCTGGGCCCTGGTGATAAGAGTGCCTTCATGGGAAGTGATAACTCGCCCTGATACCGTGTGAGCCAGCACTATTGAACAGTGTGCTCATCCATGCAGAGTTGGAATACACATCTGTGCCTCATTGATATGCCATTGCTTAAAAAAAAAGTAAGATCTTTACTGTTCTACTGATTCATTGGGAAAAAAAAGATTTGGCCAGCTAAAGCCATGTACTGCATGAAACAGAGCACTGTGCATAGGGACAGCTCCGTGGACTAGATCACTGAAATTTGAGAATACTATCTGGTTACTGATGCTCCACAGTTTTTTTTTTTTTTCCAAGAAAACAGGTTTTTAAAAGTCTGTAATACTTTATGTCATAGCTACATTTGAAAGGATTAAAGTCTACACCAAGGTTTGTAAAGACAGGTTAAAGCAGCAAGTTAGTCCCTAACCAAAGTGTAGATTGGCACTCAGTGCTGATTGCCAGTGGTGATTGCATAGATCTAAGAGCACAGTAAGCTGTTGGAAAAAAAAAACTCAGTGTCTTTAAAGTGCTGCTCCTACAAAAGGGTAAGATTGAGAATTAAGTTCAAATCATTCATACTAAATTAAAGATAAGTTACATTGTAAGACAAAAATTAGAGTTAAAGATCTATTCCTTCAATTAGCTAATTTACTTTTATGGCCATTTTAAAGAAGAGCAGCATGAATCGGGATTCTTTCTTGAACTTTTTCTTGTCTGTTTTCCAAACTATACTTAATAATAAGACTTCCAGAAATATAGGATATTTGAAAATGCATATTTTAGTGAAATTAGAAAATATCCAAAAAGGAAGGGACCTGAGGCTCCTTCTGGTCCAGTGGGCTTCACACTGAGTTCTACGGGATCCCAAAGCTGTTTCAGAGGCACCTAAAGGACTATGAAGACAACAAGGGAGCTGAAAGCATAAAGCATCAGGATCCCTCACTCTGCTTCAAAGACGGTGACCCTGAGTTTAGTTTACTTAAAGTAGTTGGCTTCTTAGAAGACTTTGCTTGAAGAGATGATTCTAGGGTTTAAATTTTAAAACAAAACAAAACTTTTGGAAAAAGCAGTTACCTCAGTATCTCATATAGAGTAAGGATACAGAGGTGCTTCAAGTACTCAGGGTCACACCATCTTCAGATTCAGCTGACCAGAATTCAGCTCACCAGAACCGTATTATATGACCCTTCTTAACATACCAGAACAGCTAGACTGTGTCAGTACCCTGACAAGTCACATGTGTACCCAGCCTTCTCTATATATAGTTTTGTGGAGTCAGCATGCATCTGTAAACTGATATATTGTTTTATATTTGTACTTTTCCTTTAAAATATTACTATGGTAACTATAAAATATGCAAATATGTGATAGTACAATTTTTCTAATAATTTTGAGTTACTTCCTTTAAATATCTTAAAGGGACAAATTACTTTTCTGCTTTGCTTTGTTTTTTTAACAAATGGAAGACCACCGTCCCTGATTATAATGGAGAAATTATATGTTGCTATATGGAGCCTTTATAAATAGGAGGCTTATGCCAATATTTTAAAAGATAGAAGTTCTGTTTCTTTTCTTTCTTTCATACATAGAGCTGATTTGTTGTGGGTTCTAAACAAAAGAGACCCAAGCTCTCTTCCATATATCTCTAGTGAGCTTGGAAATGGCCTCCTCCAGCTATGAATCATTTTTTTATTTGAAAGTCCTCTGGGGATTATGTCCTTATTCGCAAACAGAATGTGATCCTGGCGAGGTTTGCTATTGCAGATTCAGACTAAAATTGACCCAACTTGATAAGCTCCAAAAATTACCTTGAACCGTAACTGACCTCTTCCAGCTCAAAGAACATTTTAAGATTCACCTAAAAACTACTTGGCTAGTTAGTATATGAAACAAGGGATAGTGTGTTAGGAAACAAATGCATTAAATGGTCATTTTCCTTTTGAGGTTCTAGTACTTTCCCAACTTTTTTTAAAATTTTATGTGTATGAGTGTTTTGCCTAACTGTATGTGTGTGTGCCTGGTGTCCACAGAAGCCAGAAGAGGGTGTTGGATCCCCCAGAACTGGAGTTAACTGCCATGTGGGTGCTGGGATTCGAACCTGGGACCTCTGCAAGAACAACCAGTGCTCTTAATAGCTAAGCCATCTCTCCATCCCCCATTCCAACTTTCCATTTATCTTAATGATACTTTTTCATAGTATGTTAGAAATTTCAGTGTACTTTCTGAACCTCAGTGTTGAGCAGTTTATTCTGTTTCTGCTGAAACTGAGACTCAGATAGGAAAAACAATGCCTTAAAACAACCTTTGCACTGACAAGATAGTTCAGCAGGTCAGAGTGCTTACCATACAAATCTGATGATCTGAGTTTGATCCCTGGAGCTCACATGAAGGACTGTGAGAACTGACTCCACAAAGTTGTCCTCTGACCTCCACATGCGTGCCATGGCATGCATGCTCACATAAGCCTTGCACACACGTGTGTGTGCTTGCACGCATGCACACACATACACACACCCCTTATTAGTAAAGGCATAGTTAAGGCTTGAACCTGGGTTTTTTAGGTTTTCTAGCTCTTAACAACCCTTTAAAAAAAAAAAAAAGAGTCTTACTACATGGCCCAGGCCAGACTGGAACTCACAATCATCCTGCCTGCCTCAGATTCTCAAGTGCTAGAATCATAGTCATGTGCCATCACACTGTGCATCCACCATTTATTCTTTACTGAACAATCTTCTTTATATATTCTTTCTTTTTTATTTTATCATTATTTTTATTTTATGTGTATGCGTATATTGCCTGCGTGTTGGTAAGTGTACCTGTATCGTTCCCATGGAGGACAGAAGAGGCTGTTGGATCCCCTGGAACTGGAGTTACTGACAGTTGTTAGCTCTCATGTAGATGCTGGGATTCGAACCCATGTCTTCTGCAAGAACAGCCAGTGTTCTTAACCACTGAGCCATCTCTCCAGCCCCTCTTTCTATATATTTGTATATACTGCATATATACAAAAGATTTACTGCTTTAAAATCCATGTGATCTAAAATTAACTATTTGAAAGCAGACAGTTCTATAATATTTAATACATTCACAGTATTATGTGATTGTTGGCCCCTGTATACTTCAAGAAGTTTTTCATCACCCCGAATAGAAATTCTGTACTCGTTAAACAATAGCTCTCCATTTCTATTTTGTTTCTGAATATATTCTCTATTTCTTGTAAGTGCAATTAAACAATATTTCTTCTCTTGCATTTGATTTCTTCCATGAATTTAGCACATCATCTTCAAGGTTTTACCTATGTTATGGCATGTGCTGGTTCTCCATTCCTTTTTGTGGTTGAATAGTACCTTCTTTCATGAGTCTACCACATATGTTCGCTTACCTAGCTATTGATAGATAGTTCTTATTTCCACTTTTTGATCAGTGTGGACATTTATGTGTGTATCTGCTTGAATCTTATTTCAATTCTTTTGTAATATGCACCTAGGATTGGAATTTCTGGATCATACTGAAATCCTGTATTGAATTTTAAATGAGTTGTGAGATTTAGAACTCAGAATACATTTTCCATAAGAAACACTGTTGTAGCTAACTAGTAATATTTATCCTAGATCTTAGTCCCAAGTTTCTAGCGCTTGAGCAGCCCTGGGTTTTAAGGATCAACTATTTGAGGAGCAGGGTGGGGGTGAGGGGAGGTTGGATAGTGGCCCAAACTGCTGGATGTTCTCCTGGCATGCTGACAGGCAACTCTAACAAGAAAGTAGGAAATGCATGTAAGAGAGAGTAAGTCCTGCAACGAGACGAGGAGGTGCTATCGATGGGGAAAGCATCCATGGCAGAGACAAAGCAAGTTTGAGGATTTATACATGTGGTTCCTTATCGGATTGCTGTTAATCCAGAATCAGTGATAGGTGATCATGTGAGTCAATATCTATCTCTCCATCTAGCTTTCTACCAAACTTATTAATTAGGAACATATAGCAAATGTATTCCAAACTGACACTGTGTGTTACACTAATGAATCTTTCAACAATGTTGTAACCCTTGCAGAAATGCAGTTTATAATGGAAATGTTAGAAATCCTTTCACTATAATGCCGCAGATTGTATTACTGTGGTGAATGGTATTTCTTTTCCATTCCTGATTGGTTTTCCTTTCATTGTCATTAGATTTTCTTACTATAGAATTGTAATGTTTTAATCCAGTGATGTAGAGTTTTATTTTAAGTGTTAATATTTCATTTACATTTTGAGAATAAAAATTAAACACATGAAGGAATTTACAATAGAATCACATATTGTAACTTTATAACTCCTAAGCATATGAGTCCATTGTTAGAGAGGATCCATGACAGCCTTCTTAAGTCCCTGGGCCAAAAGTACTGATTCCATGTTTTTTCATAGAACATTCACTCCAAAAACCAAACTGGCTATTTCAAAATGTTAAACATACTTAGGGAGAAAAAAGTATTAAAAGAAATATTTTCTACATGGCCTTCAGAGTTTATCTTTATCTCATCCTTTGCAGAACCACATGTAGTATTAACTGTTTTTAAAAAAGGATAGGGACACCGTATGTGGTGGCCCCTGCCTGTAATCCCAGCACTCCGGAGGCAAAGGCAAGAAGATCACAAGTTGCAGGTCAACCTGGACCACATAGAAAGATCTTGTTCCCCCACTCCCTCCCTGCCAAAAAAACAAGCAGAAAGGGGGGTGGGTATTGGGCATATATACACAAAAGTAAAATTCATCTAGGTTGTTACTCATAACCATTTTCAAATCTCCAGAATCTTTCCCCATTTTCTTCACCTAGAGATGGCTATGGCTAGTATTTATCAGATGCTAGT